GCACAACACAAGCATGCAGAATCAAACTTGCTCTGATACCAACTGTCACGGGCTCTGACCCTAGACTCAGAATCCGTGTGACCTTAGGCTTGGAATCTCCTCCTTTATGCCTAAGTCAGCCTAAAACACAAGTGTGCGGGCACTAGAACAACGGGAAGGGCTGATTACACAAGTTAAAGAGAAAAAGGATAAGAAGGCAGAATTCTGGAAATGCTCTTGTATTCACTGAAACAGAAGTGTTTGATGGTGTACAAATGAGGGTGGAGCAGCCCTCTATTTATAGATGAGGCTTTAGCTACAACTTAATGGCAATATACCTAGAATAAAGGCTAAAATCATGGGATTACAATCAATCAGGATGCTAACTCCTGATTTTCAGGGTCAACCAAATCTGCCAGGATGCTCCTACTGATCTTGCCTGCTTCCAAAAGCTTCCCTCGTGTGTCCAGCACCTTAGGCCCTTCTGAATGTGGTATGGGCAGCTTGTATGCCAGGCCTTGGTCTCCCAGGCTGGCCTACAAGATGGGCGAGCATTCTGAACTTGTTTGCTAGGCTTTGCGTGCAGATACCCGCCAGCACGCCTGGTTTGCAGGACTCAACCTCTGGCTCGCCTGTTGGTGCGCCTGATGTGCCTGGCGCACCCGCCCAGGTTGTGACACTGGCACCAGACTTGCCCTCCAATGGATCCTCGTTAAGGGATTTAGATTGTACTCATTCCAATTACCAGACTCAAAAAGCCCAATATTGTTATTTATTGTCACTACCTCCCCGTGTCAAGATTGGGTAATTTGCGCGCCTATTACCTTCCTTGGATGTGGTAGCCGTTTCTCAGGCTCCCTCTCTATAATTGAACCCTAATTCTATGTCACCCATCACCACTATAGTAGGCCGCTATCCTACCATCGAAAGTTGATAGGGCAGAAATTTGAATGATGAGTCACTAGCACAAAGGTCGTACGATCGGTCGAGTTATCATGAATCATCAGAGCAACGGGCATAACCCGCATCAACCTTTTATCTAATAAATGCATCCCTTCCAAAAGTCAGGGTTTGTTGCACGTATTAGCTCTAGAATTACTACGGTTATCCGAGTAGTAGATACCATCAAACAAACTATAACTGATTTAATGAGCCATTCGCAGTTTCACAGTCTGAATTAGTTCATACTTACACATGCATGGCTTAATCTTTGAGACAAGCAAATGACTACTGGCAGGATCAACCAGGTAGCAATCTTTTAGGACGTTGGCACCGCGTGGGCCTCGACGAACCGACCGAGTGGTGGAGAGAGCCCGACGCGGAGCCCAATCATCGTGCGTGTCGAGCACGTGAAATGCGTACCATCGGATGAACGGGGGCCAAGAGCCCGCGCCCGCTAAACATTTTGGATGTGAGGATGGATGATTGGGTGGCACGCTTGGGACACCGGCCACGATTGACATCCGACCCGTGGCCCCTCGGGACACGAGATGGATGAGGGATGGTGAGACATCTGGTTTCCATCGATTTAGGTATGCAACACAGGATCCCGATCGCACCCCTGGGTACGATGGCCGCATGGGGGAGATTGAAGAGGATGACGGGTCGACAGTTCGATGCATCGAGCACGGAGCCTGCCAACATGCACAACGATAGAACCACTCATATGCCCATTGTGTACAAGTGGCAGCATCCACGCGCGTCAGTCCATAACCTACCCGATCGATTACTCGACGAGTGAGCGGAGGAAATGAGGTGCGAGGCCATGCCACAACTGCTTGGCACGAGAAAAACATGAGCAAGGGCCACGAGACTGCCCTTGATATCCGACAGGCAGCAACAAAGCGACACCACCAATGCTTGGCCCAGTCGGGACTGCACATGCGAGCTTCGTTGACACCACCCCAGGGGGACATTGCTCGATTCAGGGACTTGTTCCTGGGGTCTCGGACAGCTTCGACTGCATGCACGGCCTTGTCGAGGACTAGGCATTTTCATGGCCGACGAGAAAGGACTGCGAGACCGTTAAATACTGAGAGACCTGGCTGGGCCAAGCCCGTAATCACGGCTTCTGCTCGCACCACCCCAAGGAGCCGTTGCCCAATTCAGGGACTCGATCTGGGGTCTAGGGCAGCATCCGCCACATGCACGGGCTTGAGTTCAGTTCCCCTCTTTCACATGCATACCAACCGGTTGAGGCCATGGGCGTCTGCCGGTCACCGAAGCAACCAGTCATCGGATAAAACGGCCAGAAGGCATGCACACCTTGTATTTCGCTCGAGGGATGTTACCCTGGGTGTATGCAATGGGAGGCCCATCACGCACACCTACTCCCCCCGTGGGGCAAACAGGCATATCCCACACCGAGGGTGAGTAGGTGCCGATAGTGGTTGGGGCATGTGCCCGCACTAAGGGCCAGCGTGTGTCGATGGTGGTCGAGGCAACCATCTGCACCAGATCGAGGCATGTGCCCATACCAAGGCCCAACATGTGCCGATGGTGTTTGACGTAGGGGCCATCTTCTATCGATGGTGGTCGAGGCAAGAGCTCGCACCAAGTGCCGGCTTTTATCGATGGTGCTCAAAGCAACCGCTCGTACTAGGGCCCAGCATGTGCCGATGGTGATCGAGGCAATCACCCCCAACAGGGCCCAACGTCTGCTGATGGTGTTCGAGGGAATCGCCCTCACCAGGGCCCAGCGTGTGTCAATGGTGGTCGAGGTAAGAGCTCGTACCAAGGGCCAGCTTGTGCCGATGGTGTTCGAGGCAACTGCCCATACCAGGGCCCAGTATGTGCCGATGGTGATCGAGGCAACCACCAACACCAGGGCCCAGTGTTTACCGATGGTGTTCGAGGCAACCGCCCGCACCGGGGCCCAGCGTGTGTCGATAGTGATCGAGGCAACCACCCACACCAGGGCCCAACATGTGCCGATGGTGCTCGAGGTAATCACCCACACTAGGCTCGAGGCAACCGCTTGCACCAGGGCATGAGAACTCACACCCCCTTAAAGAGCATTTGAGATTTTACAGGTTTGCTGCCAGTAGCCATTCAAGTGTCTGAAATGGGGACACTTTTTTCAAATGGTCACAAAATCTTCTCCACTTTGAGTTTTTAGCTGAATTTTTTTATGCATGCCAACAAAAATAGAAGGATGACGTCTAAAAAATTTGGGGCCAAAACTCCTGCTAAAAGAATTTTAAAAAATCCCAAACCGTAAAAAGTTTCAAAAATCATGAAAAATAGAAAACGAGTCATCTTGCCA